GATGCCTACCTGGCTGGACTCGTTTGAGTCCCGTTTCTCTTTTTGGGGTTTTTTGTTGTTCTCCCGCCCTGGCAGGGGGTCAGGCTAGAAGATCTACTAGGTCCCTTCCGACCCTTAATCTATGAATCTATGATGGGTAACTCCCTCCTGTGAGGAACTAAGGGAGCCATCTGCTGCCTGGATCCCACAGTACAGGAGGTATGCTACTGGCCAGGGATCTCAAACAAGGCTTCCAGACCTAATCAGGCCCACTGACTACTATCCCATGGTCCTCATCCATTAGGGAACAAATGATGCAGCCCAGAGTAGTCTGGGTCGGGTCATAACTGACTACATAGCTCTGGGAGCCAGGCTTAGAGGTTCGGGGGCACAAGTGGCCTTCTTATCTATCATCCTGGTCAGCAGCCACAGCCAGCACCACAGCAACTACATTGGCGAGGTCAACCCACGGCTTCAGAGTTGGTGCCACCATGTGGGGTTTGGCTTCCTAGACCATGATCCATATCATAGTATCATAGTGCTTATGGTCAGAAGGGATCTAAATATATCATCAGGTCCGACCCCCTGCCCCAGGCAGGAACGGGTGCCAAATCACCCCAGCCAAATATCTGTTCAGCCTCCTCTTGAAGACCCCCAAGGTAGCAGAGAGCACCACCTCCCTTGGGAGTCCATTCCAGAGCCCGGCTGCCCTAACTGTAAAGTAATGCCTCCTGATGTCTAGCCTGAACCTTCTCTCTAACAATTTGTGGCCATTATTCCTAGCAACCCCGGGTGGTGCCCAGGGGAACAGAGCCTCCCACAATTCCTGCTAGTCCCCCCCGGTGAGTTTGTAAATGGCCAACAGACCCCTCTCAGCCTTCTATTGTGGAGGCTAAATAGGTTCATCCCCTTTAGCCTCTCTTCGTAGGACCTGCCCTGCTGCCCCTTGGCCATGCAAGTGGTCCTCTTCTGGACCCTCTCAATGCTAGCCACAACCCTCTTGAACTGCGGCATCCAGAACTGGACACGGTACTCTACCTGTGGCCTGACCAGTGTAGCACAGAGAGGAAGGATCACCTCCCTGGACCTGCTCATGATGCATCTGTAGATGCAAGACAAGGTGTGGTTAGCCTTACTGACCGCTTGCTTGCGATGGTGCCTCACGTTCATCCTGGAGTCAATGACTCCAAGATCCCTTTCTGCCACCGTGTTGACAAGAAGGGTGTTCCCCAGCCTAGAG